AGAAGTTCAAAGCTCCCGTGTAGACAGGGAGCTCAGCTGACCAGTGGTAGGCAGAGTGTCATCTTGCTGAGCAAGCAGCTAAACAGAGCTGCTCCTGCTTGAAATGGAGCAGCTTCCAGAGCACGTAAACGGAGATAAGGAGACAGTAAATGGCAGGGAGAGGAAGAGGAGAGGAAGGGCGTAAGTAAGTAATTGGCTGATGAGGAGTCAGAGGGGAAGGGAGTTTGGAGAGTCCAGTCTCTGCGAGGAGACTGTGTGAGTGCACAGCATAGTGTCGGTGGGGGAAAGGAGGTGGGTGGGTGCTGGCATCTGTGCAGTGAGGTGGAGGCAAGTGGTAGTTTCGGGTGTCTGACTCATTGCAGTCTTTGTCTGGAATGGGGGGGAGCAGGTTGCATGGTATATGATGTGTGTGTGTGTGTGTGTGTGTGTGCCAGAATGACATGTGCATGATTACATTTCAAACAAAGTTTACATAGGTGTTAATGACTTAAGGTAAGAAAGAAAAATATTCTTTTAACAGAATTTTCTGGAGTGCTGCAGATATCTAAAACTCTGATCTTAGTGATTTTTTTAAAAAATCCTGTGTTACTAATTAATACATGGCATATTGTATTGCATTAAGGCCAGATCTTTGCTATGTGGTACAGTTCTTATGAGTCAGAAGTAGCAAATACTAGCTCGAGTTGTTAGAAATATATATAAAAAATGTGTGTGTTTTGTTTGCATTGGTGGTGCCACATCTACACTGCCTTAATGTTGGTGGTGCACATAAGAATTTTCAACCTGCCCAAGGATAGAAAATGTTAAAGGAAACACTGCCCTCCAATCCCCCTATCTCTGGCAGCTTTCATCGCCAGAGAGCATGATGATGTCATTCTGTGGCCCGGTGAGGAAAACTTTTTTATATATTGTCACAGCAAAATGACTAAGTATTCTACAGTTGATTAATAACACAGTAAAAGCATCCTGATTGGTTCGGAGCTTAAAATGGTTAATATTTAAATCACGGTGTTTTAATATCATGTGCTTCAAAGAAGGGATATAAAATCCCGTGTAATTAGTTAACCAGTTAAGCATTAAGATTAACCGGTTAACTGATTAAATGGGGCTAGGCTGGAAGGGCTGCTTTAGCCCATCTGCTTCCAACCCCACATTGGGCTGCCAGCACTGGGCCGGAAGCTGAGGTGGGGGAAGGAGGGGAGGTGGAAGGTGCTGGCTCCTAACCTGTGCAGGCTTATGGTCTAGGAGCCAGCAGCCTCGCAGGGCTAGAGCAACCCTCTGCCTATGGTGGGCAGCGGGCTGCTTCCATGATAACAGTTAACTGTTATCTGGCAAGTATCACCCATTACCTGTTCACATCCCTACTTCAAGGAGTGGCAGGAAACACATGAAAGAGCCACTTGCAGCCTCCAAGCCTGAGTCTGAGTATCACTGGTCTAGTAAGTGCCCTGTTTTACCATAGTGTAAAAATGAAGACTCTGAAATGCATGTGAAATAATTAACATAATAAATGTCCAGCAATTAATTCATGCCATCTTATCATCTGTTTTGGAATATATTTTGCCTTGTACTGACCAGTAAAAGCTGATATATTTTAAGCAAGAAACAGCAACCATAACAAAAAATAAGCAGCAGATATCAAAATAGGTGATGTAGAGCTAGCTTTATTTACTATTGACTGGAGTCTGTTTGTGTGTAGTATGGCACTAGCAGCAGCTCCTGTCCTATCAAACTGGTTGGGCTCAGTTCCTTGCTCTGATCATTTTGTCCTCTGGGGTTGCAGAATTGGTCAGATTTGGCCCAGCCTCTTTGATTGAAGGAATAGCCAGGCCAAATTTGGAGAGTAAAACTGTGACCTTGTACTTAGTGTCACAGTACCATTCAATCTTGGTCTGGCTGGCCCCCCATCATCATTCTGGAGGGGCAGCTAGATTATACTTGAGCAACACAGCAACCTCACAGTTCCTGGAGTGGACACTCAAGCCCAGCCAGCACCATGGGACCAGAGCTGCAGGAACCACTGCTGCAGGGTAAGTGTAGGGTGAGTTCGAAACCCTGCCCCACAATCCCCGGGGTACAGAACTTGACCCCCTCTCTCAGGGCTTGGGACCTGATTTCCTCCTTACCCCAATAGATCTTCCACACAACCCTTTGACATAGTGAGGTAGTAGAGTTTGTGGATGATACTAAACTGTTCAAGATAGTCAAGACAGAAGCAGAACTTCAAAAAGATCTAACAAAACTGAGTGATTGGGCAACAAAATGGCAAATGAAGTTTAATGTGGATAAGTGTAAAGCAATGCACATTGGAAAAAAAACCAACTATACATATAGTATGGTGGGGGCTTATTTGGCTACGACAAATCAGGAAAGAGATCTTGGAGTTATCGTGGATAGTTCTCTGGAAACTTCCACGCAGTGTGCAGCGGCGGTCAAAAAGGCAAATAGGATGCTAGGAATTATTAAGAAAGGGATAGAAAATAAGACAGAATATCTTACTTCCCCTGTATAAAACTATGGTACGCCCACATCTTGAATACTGTGTACAGATGTGGTCTCCTCACCTCAAAAAAGATATTTTGGCCTTGGAAAGGGTTCAGAAAAGGGCAACTAAAATGATTAGGGGTTTGGAACAGGTCCCATATGAGGAGAGGTTAA